AAGTAGAGATCCTTTTAGTATCTATACACTAAGTAGAGACCCTTTTTTTATATATACTGGTCTGTCAGAACGGGAACAATTTGGAAAGTACTGACGTGAATCTGAATTGCTGATGGAACTAAATCTGAGCTCCAGTGGTGTGAGAGGGGGGCACTATGTTTATGTTTATTTTATAAACATTTTTATATTTTATATATATTTTCTTTATGTCTCCTGACCTGGGCAGCTGGGCCTTGACCTGCCTCTGACACAGGCTGTGGTAGCGCTCCACCTTCAGGAAGCCCTGGTTCAGCACCCGCTGGCAGATCATGTCCATGCGTTTGCACACCTGGGGAGACAAATTATTAAAAAACACAACTTGATGACATCTGAAAATGTTCTAAATTTCTCATTTTTAAAAGCTATTTTCAAATGCCTTAACGGTTTTGCCCCTGAAGTGATCTGTAAATGTGTTTTAGAGTATGCAAATGAAGGAATCAGGACAAGAGCTGGAGCTGGTAGAACTGCAGGATTTAAAGATGTCGGACATCTACGGGTCAGTGAAAGCATCACATCTCTGGGTCAGTGAAAGCATCACATCTACGGGTCAGTGAAAGCATCACATCTACGGGTCAGTGAAAGCATCACATCTACGGGTCAGTGAAAGCATCACATCTACGGGTCAGTGAAAGCATCACATCTCTGGAACTCTTTGCCTCTGGAGCTTAATCACAGACTGATGTTCCACTTTTCTCAACAAGACTGAAAAAATGGCTCAAAGACAATCAAGAGTGTGAGCACTAAACTGGCTTGTACTTTACATTTATTTTTATTTTTTAACTTCTCTTGTTTCTTATGCATCTGTGTGTGGTTACTAACCCCCCCCCTTAATGCTAACACCTTTTAAAATCCTAACCAGGGACGAAGGCTGTAAATTAGCCCGTGGCTACAAGCCTTATGCACCTGGACATCGGGCACCTGTTTGGTAGCAATGTTTAATTGTACTGTCCCTGTCAAATAAACAAACAAATAAATAAACAAATAAATAAAAATAAGGTGGAGCCAGAGCTGCTGGAGCCCAGCCCCAGACGTCAGGAACTCAGGGGTCCCCCAGTCCTTCCACAGAGCTGCACCACAGCCCGGACCCTCACCCACATCTGGCCTGTGTGTGTGAGTGTGTGTGTGTCTGTCTGTCTCTTTGTGTGTGTGTGCGTGTGAGTGAGTGTGTATGTGTGTGTGTGAGTGTGTGTGTGTGTCTGTCCATCTCTTTGTGTGTGTGTGTGCGTGTGTGTGAGTGTGTATGTGTGTGTGTG